TTTCGATCTTTCCAACCCTTCTGCAATAAGGTGCCTTCATCCACTTCTTCTACTTCGGGTCGAAGCATCTGGGTTGATAGAAGTCTCATGTTGATCAATGTTTTAATGATTAGCTCGCTCCTCATCAGGGATACCCATGTCAAAGGGAGGTGACCCTCAATGTTGGGGGGCACCCAGATGATGGTTGATGTCCACAGGGGCAATGAGCTCGCGTGTTTGAGTATGCCTAGTTTCGTTGAGCGTCTCAAAGAGCTTCTCATACTGCTCTTGGAGGACCTCATTCTTCATTGCTATCTTATTGTTCTGAGCTTCTAGCTCATCGACTTTAGCTTGAAAAGCAACCCTATTTCCTTCCTTCTTTTATTGCTTCGCACTAGGTGCAAGAGGGGTGTCATTCTGTGTGTTGTGGCTTCCTTCGCTCCCCATGTTGGAGAGGGATGCCTGGTCAAAAGAGAGTGTACGAATGGTGGAAACCATCTTGACAAAGCTGAAGAGAGTGGGAATAAGTGTCGTTCCCACAGACGGCGTCAAATGTTGATGCACAAAGTCAGCGAGGACTTTGGTACAACAGAAAGTGTTAAGTTTGTGACCTTCGCTAGATTGCTCCGGTCACTAGTGTGGATAAGTAAGTAAATGGATAGGGATAGGGAAGCAAACACAAGATGTACGTGGTTCACCCAGATTGGCTACGTCCAAGGAGTAGATGAGTTCTCATTAATTGTGAGGGGTTTACACATGTACATAAGTTCAAGCTCTCCTTTAGTGAGTACTAGTGAATGATTTAGTACAAATGACATTAGGAAATATTGTGAGAGAATGATCTCTATTTATAGAAGAGAGTTTCTAGTTTCATTTTGACATTGACATGTATCGTGTTGTGATTGACTTCTGATGTTGACATGTGTCGCGCTATGATTGGCTTCTGATTTCGACACATGTTGCACTGTGATTGGCCTCCTGGTTGGAGGGAAACTCTTATGGGTCCTTAACAGTATAACGTTGACTAGTGCTCAATAGTTTCGGGATTGGTTAAGTATGATACAAACAGTAATCATTTCATGTTGAAGTCAAGATTACAAATGTTTACAAAAGAAAAATCTAGACTGTTGAGCCGAACTACATAACCTAAAATGTAAAGAAAGTAGTAAAACTCTAGTAAAATTTTGGCATGAAGAACAAGATAATGCTAGAGGAGTCCACCTAGATCACTGATATTGGATTGGACTTATTACAAAATATATGCCTCCGAAAGAGAATCAGGGTGGTTGGAATGGCACATAACATGAATCATACCAGGGGTGGCAAAGCTGTAAAAGTTTTAGACCTCAAGGATTGTAGGTTGTGTTTGCTTCGAAGGAAGGTTTTGACATTGGAGTTGAAGAGCAAAAGGGTTTTGTTGAAGAGCAATTAGGTTTCTGGTGAAAAATAGTTTGGTTGATTGAAGAATCGCTTAAGGTTTTGTATAATCGTAAAGACTGGATTTGACGAAGGTCCTGAGCATGAAGACCTCTATTTATAGGCATTGGAAAATGAGTAACCTCAATCATATCAAAGAGCTGGTGCAGGGGTAAATGGTCATTTGGTGCTACCAATGACTATAATTCCTGATGGGTAACGGCGCTAATTTCTTGATAGGGATTTTTATCACCTGCAAAAGTAGGGATAAAAACACTTAAAAATACTTGCAAGAGTACAAGGTAGTTGTAATATAAATGGTTCAAGCAAGGTCGTTTTCCACAGGGATTGAATGAATACTTTGTATTTAAAACCAACTCTTAATTAATTATTAAAAACAAAGTTTGGAAAATGTTGATTTTAGAATTTAAAATAATAAAAACTAATTTAATAAAAAAAAATCAATTTAAAGAAAATAGACTATTTGTAAAAGCATTAGGGTTCCGCTGTCACCTTTACAATCATACGTAGTTCTTCCAATTACTTATAAATTACCCATGCATATTTCGAAGGTTAGGTTTTCCTAATATATGTCATACTTGAAACCTCCAACATAGAACGTATATCTAACATGCAACCCGTTCAGACGTCCGAATCAAATATGAATACGAAATACTCATTAAGTTTTATGAAAACCCTTTTAAAAATCATGCAACCCTTAAGACTTAGTGTTCATCCTAAGTGAAATTACAATTATTAGTCACAAGAAGCCAGCGCCAATTTTAGTGAACTTTTCGACCAAAGTTGCATCAAATTACTTTTCTAAATATCCTAATGGTCGCGAATCACTAAGACAATTAAATAGTTTAAAACGGTGATTAATAATTCAAAACATGCATGCATAATATCATAAGTAAATTGAAAAGAAACTACATATTCTTGTTAAAGCTTGTGGCCTCGCCCTAGCAAAAGAAATTAGTTATGAACAATCATAAAATATAATATTATTAAGAACATGGATAGAAAACACCTTGAAAATAAACTTGAATCGCCAAAAGCTAAGTAAGGTGTGCGTCCTCCTCCTCTCCTTCTACCTCTTTTTCCTAATGGCTAAATATCTTTATTTATACTACTACAAAATAAAACCCTAAAATGTCTTAGAATAAAACTAGGAAACATAATAAAATAATAAAATAGAAAATAAAACGTTTCCTATTTGAACTAAAATTCAAACTTCTTAGAAAATTAAACTTTTGGCCGACCAAATCAGAGTCCAAAAGGTCTCTTTTGAAAGCTGAAGACGTCCCCTACAAATATTTAGAAGGAATATTCCTCAAAATATGCTATCTTGACCTCCAAAATACCCAAAACGTCCAAAAACGTCAATCTGGAAAAGCTACGCGTTGGGCCTTTATTTCTTTGCCATGGTCAAACAACTCAGTAGAAAAATTTGAAACTTTGATAAAATCATCATGAAAAACTCACGAACATTCTCCTATTGGAATCACTCCAAAATTCGTCTATTTGATTACTTTTCGCTCAAAAGAAAGTCGAATGTCCTACATTGGAAATATAATTCAAAACATCAAAATCTTACTAAAATAATCAATAAATTATTACTAAAATTAGGGTAAAATATATAGGAAAATATTGAAGTGGCCTTCATATGTGTCTTATGGTAGTTCACGTGGTGACATCGGCGTGGTGGATGGCGCATACGTTGACATCTAAGATGGAAAGATATTCTCGAGTCTGATCGTCTACGTGACAGACTAGCCTCGGTGAGTATCCTATTCGAGCCGTCAGACGGGTTGAGGTGGAATAAAGTGGTCGTCCGAGCCATGAGATAGAATCCCAAATTAGACCTCGTTGCGTAAATAGAAATAGTTTGACCCCATATTGGACCTTATTTTATTTATGGCCCAAACATAATGGTTTTGAATGTGTTTGGTTTTTTTTTTCTTAAACCAGCAAAGATTTAATTTCATGTACAGTTAGTACAGTTAGTACATTAACATGATTATGATATTGCATCCCATTTTTCTGGTTGATCGATCTGGGAAGTTGCTTGTAATGCTGGGAAGACCCACGAAGAAGATCAAGATATACAGTACAATATCATTCATGTACTGTACATCTTATATGATGTTTTTTTCTTTTCCTGCAGTCTTTTTCGTTGGTTTCAATTAGACGACTTAGTATTGTTGCTTACCGACTTGACTTGTATGAATTAGACAACAGTACTATTGATCATTTTGCTAGCGTTTCAAAAGAGACTGCAGAAAAGAGAATGTAGGTACGTAGCATCATTGTGTTGTGATTGTTGGACGTTGGACCATAATCCAACAGTTAATAGGTCTACACAGTTAATTTAAGGATTGCTTGGAATATAAATAAGATTAGGACTTAGTTAATAGCCCCAAGTAAAGTTAATATATTCCTGATCTCCTTGGAAAATAAAGGCTCCTAATTCTATCCTATTGGGAATGAGATTTGGTGTATTAATTATCCTTGGACTGCAAGGATTCCTAATGACATTATTATCGGAATATTCATTAGGGTTAAGTCCATATAAATACAAGGCCAAAGTCCCTGCTCACAATACACAGAAACTCATACGAACGCTCCATTAGTTCGAGCATAGAGGAGTGTTGAGTGTGCATAAGACTTTGGTCAACTAACATATTATTCCGTAGGATTCCAATACAATTTTCACTGAAAGAGAAGTCCATGGCTGAGCATATTCCGCACGATTTCAGGTTAGTGTTTTTAGATATTTATGAAATATATAAAGTATAACAGTGATTACCAGAAGACTTTGCATATTTTTGTACAGGTCCGCGTATGCTTTTCTAGAAGGCATGGCTGGGGCAGCAGGACAAGTTTGAGGATAATGCTACTTGAAGTTGAAGGTGACCAAACAACTTGACCTAATCAAACGACGAAAAGTGCAGACACCTAAATTTCCTATTATACCCTTCAACGAAGTAATGGGGGATCTTCCGCAGTCGCTCGTGATCCACTCCGACTCCTCATGTAAAAACGGCATACAAAAAACAAGATCAAAACAAAAGAGAAAATAAATATATCAACTCAGAACTCCCCCTTTGAAACAGTGTTTGTACATTGGGACTCATTCTATAAACAAAAATTTAATTGGATGGTTTTTAGTTTTACTTTGGACCTTGAGTGTTTGTGTTTGGTAAACTCACTTTTTCGCGACTTAGACAGGTCTAGAGGAGATAGGCGATCGTTTAGACAGGTGCTTAAGTAAGTTTACACATTTTTTCGTAATTTTCAAACGTTTAAAAATTAATCGTGACCAGCAGTTGACAACTACTTAGTGATTAATTTTTTAAAACAGTGTTGTACATAAAAATATATGAGCTGTCGCGAGTTACAAGTTTTACAAGCTATACATACAAAATTACAATTTGACTCATTTTTTAAGCGAGCTTAATATTTTACAAAATCGAACCTGAACAAGCAAAAAACAAACCGATAAACATCCCTACCAAAGAGTAGCTTGTTTCGATTATTTTACTCCAATATTGCCTTCGTTTTAAACAACCCACAATTTTATTGGCATATGTTTTTTTTTCTCGACAAAATCGCCGCCCAATTTCTCAAAATTCAACGGTTTAAAATATAAAAACAAAAAACATTTTGTCAACTTCGTCGTTCTGAGTTGCGATCCAATTCCAAGCTCCTCTCTCTCTCTTTCTCTCTTGACTCTCTCTCTCTTGACTCTGTCTGTCTGCAACTTCTGAACTTTGCCGGACTTTCTTCTGAACCGATGAAGTGCTTCCATTTCACTAACGGGGAGCGGCGGGACGACGATGAACCCGGCGTCGTTCCCCGGACGACGTCGAAGGTGTCGTGGGTGCGGTCTCTCAGCGTGGCCTCCAGCAGCTACGACACTAGGCGGTCCGAGTTCGACTCGGACTCGAGGGACCTGTCCGACTCGTTGGCATTCCAGGAGCTGCTGAGTATGCGGCGGGCCAATGATCTGAGGGTGTTCACGTTCTCGGAGCTGAAGGCGGCGACCAGGGGATTCAGCAGGGCATTGCTGATTGGGGAAGGAGGGTTTGGGTGCGTTTACAGAGGAATCGTCAGTGGCTGCGACGTCGGCGACGGGAAATTGGACGTTGCTATCAAACAGTTGAGTCGCAATGGCTTCCAGGCATGCTCTTTGATCCCCTTTCAATCTCTTTTTCAAAATTTGTCGCCTTTTTATTGTAAGATAGTTACTGTATCTGAAAAGCTTTGGATTTTTAGTGTTTTAGGGGTGTATTCAATTGAGAAGGCAGGAGGGTTTACAAATCCATGAATTTTTTAGAGTTTAATTGATTTGAAAAGATTTCATATAAAATTTTGATTCAATTCTTCGAAATGTTATGGGAAGAGGGAAGGTAAGATTTGTGAATGCTTAAAATATACTACGAAATTTCTCCAATTTCCTCTAATTCCTCAACTTTCTCATATTCTTTAAAATTAATTTCTAATTGAATACACCTGAAATGTTATAAACTTCTTTAAAATCATAATTGAATACACCTGAATTTCTTTCTAAGAATTTTAATAAACTATCTTAAAATTCTAATTGAATACACCTTCAATTTCAGAGAATCACTTAAAATTCTAACTGAATACCCTAGGTTCATTAAAAGAAATAAAATCACTCAAAATCCCAATTGAATACATCCCTCAATCACTAAAATTGTTGGATTGGGTTGCAGTTTTGCAAATTTTATGCGGCAATTATTGTATATTTTAAATTTGAATTTATCAAGCCTTTCACTTTAATTTATCAAGCTTTTCTCTGGGACTGCTGCTTTGTGGGTTCCGTCTTGTTCTTATTTTCTAGTAAGTTTGTGGCGTTGGGGTGAAAGTTTGCTTGAATTTAGAGGTGGGATTTGTGCCATTTCGGCTAGTCGAATTCGGTTTGTAGGCACGGCATACTTGAGAAACCATATATTTGGAAAGGAGTCGATGATTCTTGAGTAAAAAGCTTGTTAACGTATCCGGTTTACTAACCGTCGTTGTGTAGATTTAGACTGAATTTGTGTTTTGCTCGGAGGGCAATTTGATTAGTGATTGGTTTTGATTAAGAATTTCTTTGAACGGTCTGAATGTATTTTACTTTACGTGCTCTATTTGGGATTCAAGTTTTCAAGTTTTTTGAGGTTGTCTAATGGGGTTGCTGTATTTTACATTCTAGTATTCAGGGGCATAAGGAGTGGATTAACGAAGTAAACTTATTGGGCGTTGTCAGGCACCCAAATCTTGTTAAGCTAGTAGGATACTGTGCAGAAGACGATGAAAGGGGGATTCAACGGCTATTGGTTTATGAACTTATGCGAAATAAAAGCTTGGAGGACCATCTATTGGTTCGGTTTTCACCACATCTCCCATGGATGACAAGACTAAGAATTGCCCAAGATGCAGCCCGCGGATTGGCATATCTACATGAGGAGATGGATTTTCAGGTACGCTCTGTTGTTTATTTTTATATCAAAACCACCCTGCATGAAGACACTGTTCTCATGTTGCCCTTATCTAAAATACACATACAGATCCATTGTCTGTAGCCTTTTCCCTTGTTCCCTTAGGTCGTTTGCAGGAGGGATTTGCAAGTACCAAGGGATTTAGGCTAAGTTAGTAGGAAATGAACTACAAAACATTAGATTGAGGGAGTTGAAATGCATTGCATGATAATTAGAAAGACAAACAAAAGATTCACAAATGACTCCTTCGAAGTAGTCATTTGTAAATCCCTGTTATTGAATTGTATTGAGTATCTATGTTCAAAAGCCTCCATCTGATCTTTTGTAGTGCATTTCTAACTAACTTAACCTAAATCCCTTGGTACTTGCAATTCCCTCGTCCAAACAGTTTTTTGTGCCTAAATATTCCCATATTTTTTATAACAGATGATATCTGCAAATACATGCCTCCCGTCACTTTTCATATATCTGGTGTCCGACATTTTGTTTAAGTTACTTTCTCAACTATTCTCTAGTCAATATGATCTGGATCTTCCTTATAATCGGTGCAGCTAATTTTCCGTGACTTTAAACCATCAAACATTCTGCTAGACGAGGACTTCAATGCAAAGCTTTCCGACTTTGGACTTGCAAGGCAGGGACCTCCAGAGGGAACAAGTCATGTTTCAACAACAGTAAGTTGCATTATCCTTCGGGTAGAGAAGTTTGTCTTTCTAGAATGAATTTGGGCATATCGTCCTCTTAAGGTATTGGGAGTTTGGGATGCAAAGTCGCTGATTTCACCTAGGTGATATTAGCGATAAAAGTAAATGGTTGTTGAAAATTCTAGGCCTTCTTTGGCACTTTGAAAATTTCTGGTAAGACTAAACTGATGGCCAATCTCTTATGAATTCTGAAATGGGACCTATTAGCAATGGCAACCAACTTCTTTGCTTGTTTCTGGTGAATTGTAAGTCCTGTGTTCTGGGAAATGCATTACTTACAATGAATATTCGGTTTTTATAGATTGTGGGGACAATAGGTTATGCGGCTCCAGAATATGTACATACAGGGAAGCTGACTGCTAAAAGTGACGTATGGAGCTTCGGAGTGGTTCTGTATGAGCTCATCACAGGAAGAAGGGCGGTGGACAGAAATTTGCCCCGGAATGAGCAAAATCTTTTGGAATGGGTCAAGCCCTATGTTCCAGACTCAAAGAAATTCCACGTTATTGTTGACCCTCGGCTTGAAGGACAGTATTGCGTCAAATCAGCTCAAAATCTTGCATCATTAGCTAACAGGTGTCTATCAAAACAACCAAAGTCTCGCCCAAAAATGAGTGAGGTGGTTGGGGTTTTGCGATGCATCATAGAAGAGCTGTCATCTCAAGACAAAGTTGTCCCTGAACCTGTGATTCAAACCGAAGAAGCGAAGGAAGAAACCGTGGAGGAGACTGCGATCAAGTCTACTAAACAAGGGAACAAAAAGAGGGTTTTCGATATAAGAGACATGATAAACTTTAGAACCAAGTCTAGTCGGAAGTTGGATTGGAGAAACTGGAGCCCGTGGTTGATTAGACTTGGTGATTAAGCTATCAGCCAGATTGTGTCAGGAAAAAACCCTCATCCACGAGCTTTCCTCGCTCCTGGAACGAAAGACAACAGATACTTGTTCTTCAAATCTTACGGAGGTATAGGGTTCCTATCCATTTTTTTTTCGGTAGATGGTTGTATATATAATTTGTAAAAGGACGCTGTACTTTTGAGGCATGCGTCCGTTTGATTCATGCACATAATTTGAGTCACAAGTTAATTTTCTCTCCCCTGTAACGAGTACCGAGTATGTTTTAGAGGCGCGTGACGTCCGTGATAAAAAAATAAAAAAAACTTCTCACACGCAGCTAGCGCTTGCATCCCTACCATTCCAAGCTAAAATAACAATTTGGTGATTAACAAGATACATCATGGCAATGCTCATTTTACAGGCTCGCCTAATTTGTCAAGAAAGGGTTGAAATTTGAATAACATTTAGCCATAATAAACTGTACATCCACAGGACGAACATTCGTATATTGCAGCTTTTGCCATTTAGTTTGACGCCATTTTCAAGCGTAAAGCGGGGAAGCAGAGGGCCGAGGATAGGCGACAGTATTCCTTGCCTTGTTAGCTGCCTTTATCGCATCAGCTGCCGCTGCTGCTGCCGCTGCTGCACGCTTGGCTTTGCTAGCATCGTCTGCACTTCGTCTGCGCATCCTTTGACCATTACTCTGAGTGCCTCCATTGGGATTATAATCTGGCAGTTGTTCAAGTGTTTTTACAACCTCATCCATGTTTGGCCTGAGCTTGGATTCTGTGGACAAGCATCTTGCTGCAAGGGTAGCTGCCTTGTGAGCTCCATCCATTGAATACTGACCTTCTAGACGGTTGTCTATGATGCGAAAGACCTTACGCTTGTTTATCAGGAAGGGTTTAGCCCACTCCACCAGATTGTGTTCTCCGGATGGCCGGTTCTTGTCAACTGCTCTCCGGCCAGATAACATCTCCAACAAAACGACTCCGAAACTATAGATGTCGCTCTTGGCAGTTAGATGACCTGGAATTAGTGAAAATTGGAGCCGTTATACAGGCATCAATTTTGATATATGGTAATCAGGAATATAAAACCAAAGCACTTGGAAATATTCCAAGTTGAATGTGGAAAGAGAACGAGTCCCAAATGTATACCACATCAGCACACCAATGGAATTTGTAATGGAGTTTGCGGAAGGACCATATTGATGTGTTTTGTACAACATGAAGGATGTTATTGATTGGTTCAAGACATAACGGAAGTAAATTATGCATTTATAATGCATAAAGGACCATTTGTGATAAAAACCCGACTTTTAATACCTGTGGCTAGATATTCTGGTGCTGCATATCCATAGGTACCCATGACCCTCGTAGAGACATGGCTTTTATCACCCGTTGGCCCATCTTTGGCCAAACCAAAGTCGGAAAGTTTTGCGTTGTAGTTCTGGAATTATATCAGAAACCAAAGAAACTATCAGAATAGCACACAATGAAGTCAAAAGATCTCCTAATATAATCATAATATTGTAGTTAACACATTGAGTAGTCACATACCGAATCAAGCAGGATGTTTGACGTCTTGAAGTCTCGGTATCACTTTTGTTTCAGCACTGTGAAGAAAAGCAAGACCCTTTGCAGCACCAAGGGCAACCTTGATGCGGAGGTTCCAAGAAAGAGGTTGGAAATAAGAGCCTCCTGGTACAAAGTCAGTTTAAAATCATCAATACATTAATTGCTAAAACCATCTTGTTTCAAATGTATCCGGAGACGTAGCTGAAAGAACTTACTCCTGAACAAATGATTTTCCAAGCTGCCTCGAGGCATGAATTCATACACCAGAAGTCGGTGTTCATCCTCCAAGCAAAAGCCAATTAGTTTCACGAGATTCGGGTGGTAGAGCTGTCCTAGATAATTCACTTCTGCCTATAAAAACCCAAATGAAAGCACACGATAAGTCAATTTTGAGGAGAAAAGGAGTAAAATTCATTTAAAATTGCGAAACTCAGGATTTGCTAGTACTAGGCACTCAAGAGCAGGAAGGCTCAAACGATTATTTGCTGAAACTTAAAAGCACCAACGCGTAGCTTAACTCTGCCTTCCCCAGACGATTAAGAGGTTCTCCGTATATATATAGGATCAAAGAACCGAGTATGATAATACGCAAGCTTTCAATTTGTGTGAAGTATATAATCAGGGGATAAAATAACTCACCAACCACTCTCGGTGACCCTGATAACTTTCTTGGTTAAGCCGTTTCACAGCCAAAACTATGCCAGTCCCAGGCTTTGCAGCAGTAAACGAATTTTCATCAATCCACCCCTTAAAAACAGAACCAAATCCACCTTCTCCCAACACACTATCAGGACGGAAATTCCTTGTGGCCATTTTGAGGTTGTTAAAACTAAAGCTCTTTAGATTGGAAGACTGCAAGATCTCGCCCTCACTCCGAGGAGTTGGAGGTGCCGTATATGATGAGACCTTACTGCTTGCGCTGAGGTTCCCGTCATTGCTTTTGAAGTTTGAACCTGCACAAGTAAATGTGAAGTGGAAATCAATTTAAAGTCACAACTGAGGCATCGATAAGCTTCGTACTACTCAATACCTTACACCATATTATCTAAAGACAATTATTGAGAAGTGAAACTTCTCCTCTCGTTTTCGGCTGTATTTTGAAAGAAGAACAAATTCATCAGAGAATGGCAAAGCGATAACTGCTCAGTGACATTCCCATTTTTCGTATTGTGAAGGAAACCGAAGAAACTCTTTCGGAGAATCTATCAGCAACTAAACAGGGGAAAATAAACATGAGAAAATATTTAAGTTTCCAGATAATCTGTTTTTCAACAAACCACCCACCCAGGACCAATATTATACAAATCCACAATTATAATTTCTACTGAAACAACACTATAACTAGATAAAACCCAAAATTCCGAACACACAGCTGAAGCAAAATCAAGCAAGTACGCAAGTGATGGATTGCTTCCCGGGTTCAAACATTTCCTTTACAACCACGCTTGTGGCAATTAGAATCCATGAAATCTATAAGTACCTGTATTTGCAGGGCTCTCAGCTTTGATTCGGGCGCTCAGGCAGACCCCCATGAATTCTAGCCCTAGAAAAAACAACCAGCTTTCCTCAAACCCTCCACCTGCAGATCACACAGACTTTGTTTCAGCTGAAAGCACTTCAAATGAACTTCAGAACCGACAGATCTAGAGTAAAAGCAGTAACTTTTCAACCCAAAAGAGAAAAAGAACAGAAAAAGTTGGCATCAAAGCTTCCAAAGTTGATTGGTTTTTAACTGAGATTCAATTTGTTTTTTTCTCCAAAACAAGAAAGAAAGAAACTTTCTTAATCTAGATACAGAATTAACAAAAACCCATGAACTAAAACACCAAGAATCCAAAAACCTACCTCTTTTTTTTCGAAAACTGGAATGTATTCAGAGAGAGAGAGAGAGAGATAACAGAGAGGGAGGTGGGTTGTTTATGGTTTCGAGTGAGATGGTTTTCTGCTTTCTAATGGGCAGATACGCAGAAAATAAAACTTTTTCTGATCAGGAGCAAGTTGACTGAAAGCTTTTGGTGTGATGGAGAGAGGGTTGGGCTGTGAAGGACGGTGCAGAGTACTGCATTAATGGCGGGCTGGTCCCGCTCTTCAGCTCAACGTTTCCTACCGCTCTGTTTTTTGGCTTTCCTATCTCTCCCTCGCTCTATATCATGCAGACGAGTCACCGCAGATAAGCCTACTCACATCTGCTAAACCAACCTTAGCCGTTTGATTTGGTTTCAAAGACCCCAATCTTCGAGAAGCTTTTCAAAGTACATCGCTTATTATAGTGTAAGTTGATAAACACTCACAATAAATAAAAAATTTATTTGTATTACAATAAATGCGGTATACAAACTCGTGTTTTGAACACATAAAAAAAATTATATGAAGAAGAATCTTATTATATATTATGAACTTGTAATATAACGTTTCGTGTTCCAATCTTCGATGCATAATATAAGATGAGTGAGATGGCTTGGCTTCAGCAGCTTTGGGACTCTGCAACTTAATTTAATTTAGCCACTGAAATTTTGTTTACTTCGTCTTTTTCAAAGTGGGTTAAGTGTCCATCTTCATACATGTAGATATCATTTCTTGGGGAGAAAATCAAAAAAATGGTGTTGCGTATAAGAATTAATTAGGTATTGCGCTCGTTTTCGATTTGAGTTGAACCTTTTTTATCATAGGACAATATTTTAAGAAATATTCTTACACTTGTTAGTAGCATTAGATTATAGGCCAATTATCCTTGAACCCTTTCGGTTGGTGCTAGTGATAATTTGCTTACTGTCTTTTAAAAGTTGGCGAAAATGAAATCCTAATCATTGTCCCCATCTATTAGTTTAATTACCAAGTGTTATTATCACACTGTTACGTAATGATACTTATTTATGCTTTATAATATGATAGAGTATTAATAAATATGGGCGTTTTGATACAAATGCCTAGCTCTTGAAATTTTAAGCTTAAATAACCATGTTTTTTAGAATTTTGATTAAACATCGTCCTACAATTTAGGCACAACATAATACAAAATTATATGATTTGTCATTATATGTAGTGCACCAAATTAACTATAAAATCTCTAGTGGTTATGATTCAGTATTCAATTTCAACATAAATTCTTTTACAATTTTTAAAAACAACTTGATATTTGCTTCTATTTCTTCCGTACCTTTTTCTTCCAACTCCACACCATATTGGAGTACACACCATGTCACATCCCGGCTCGGGCCCCCACCACATCATGGGCTCGACTCTATTGTAGCACGATATTGTCCGCTTTGGACCTCGACCATACCCTCACTGTTTTGTTTCTGGGAACTCACACGATAACTTCCCAGTAGGTCACCCATCCTGGGTATACTCTCACGCGAACTCACTTAACTTCGGAGTTCCGATGGAACCCGAAGCCAACGAGCTTCCGAAAGGCCTCGTACTAATTGGAGGTGGGCATGTACATATAAGACTTACATGATCTTCACTCCCGGACGATGTGGGATCTTATACACCAACTCTTCCAATCGATGTGTATATCGTACCACCGTTTAAGTAAATTTAATGACTGTTCTCCACCAACTTCGATGGTGGTATGATATATCACACCTTCAAATCTAAATATTGATACCATAGGGTGAGCCTTTTGTTTTACCGCACTTTGTATCCATGTTTTCATAATTTTTCACGTACCATGGTAC